AGATCGTCGAGTCTAGTTTCCAGAACACTTTAGATCGTCCTATTTGGAGTTTTGAGCTGAAAGTTACGGCGATACGAAGCAGTACATGTCTCGGAGCGGATAAAGGACCAAAGCAACGCACATCAAAGACCCGGTGGAACGGAGCCCTTTCCGACGTCATCTGAACTCGAACCCTTCATCAACGTTTGAGATGATCGCGTCACAGTCCCATAACAGGTCGAATCATTGGATTTGGAGTCGTGAGATCAGAGTTAAGCTCACCGGAAGACGCACCTGTCTCGCTACAGTTTCAAGACCGATTCGATGAGTCACAAAGATAGCGTGGGACGATGCCCTTCCAGTCTGATTCAGTTGCCGGGGTCTTCATCAAGATTCAATTTTTTCGAATGCGGTTTCCAGAACATCTAATATCATCCAGTTTGGTGCTATGTACTCAAAGATATCGTCTCCGGAGTAAACACTGGTCCAAGAGTTCCCTTTTGATCGTTTCAATGCGCCGCAAAGATGAGCTTCCCAGGGAACCTTCCGCTTCCCAAGCTCTGAAGGTTTCTTCAGAAAGGTTCAAAGATATTTGAGTACTCTTCTAATTCAGTTGGAATCATGCCATTTGGATTCATATCCTGGAAGTTACTCTCCCCTGAATGTGAAGCGTTCCGAGAAGGCTTAGGTTGTGCGATACGGTACTGCGACTTGATTAACTCGCACCCATGAATGTTCATGCTCTGGAACAAGTTGTGACTTTAGAGATGAGTGTAAGGAGACTCTGAGCAAGGTATAGACTTCCAGAATCAAATTTTACTAAGTCCACAATGCTGTGCGAGATAGGCCTGCGAGTTGGACATGAAGTGGAACCATGTAGCACATGTGTTCGCAATTTACACCGACTTAGGCCTGCAACTTGGGACTAAAGGAGGACCAACTCGCACACATATTACCTCCAGAATGCGTCTTAGTTGTGCAAGTTGAAGAGAAAAAGCCTGAACAGCACAAACACTCGCAGTTTACACCTAGATAGGCATGCGGCTGGGGCTGAAGGATTTAAGGTGCACAAGGCTGTTTCTATAGCTGTGCGACTTGAGCCTGCGACTTGGGAAGCACCTGACCATGTCGCACACTTGAGACATGACCCATTTGAAGCCGGGTCAGTACCCAGTTTGTCATGGGCTGACCCGGTCCGCAAGAGACACTATATATGCTTTTTAGGATTTTTTCCAAGACTTAAGCTTTGTTTTCTCTTGTTTCTTTTTCCTCTTTAGTGTAAAAACGAGTTTGATCAAGAGATATCTAGCAGATTTAATCATCTTAAAGCTGTTTCTTATCATTTCTTCATCTCATCTTAACTTCTAATCATGATCAACATCACCTCTTGCAAAGGAAATGGTGTGTTCATCATGATTAGTGAGTAGTCTTCTTTTAAGCTTCTAGGTGTGTAGATTAGGGTGCTTAGATGTAGATTAATGATTGTTTAAGCTTAGATTCTCTTCTCCTTTCCTTAGTTAGCTGATCATTATGCTAGATCTCTCATTATAAGCTTGATCTAGAACTTAGGCATTTCTCCACCCACAAGGTGTTTGATGAAATGCTTGAATGAGCTAACTTAAGGGTTTATGCCTTTTTCATCATGGGAATGATTGTTAAATGCATGAATGACATATTATAACTCTTTCTTAATGCTCATTGATTCATATTTCACAAATGATGATTTGGTTTGAAAATGGATTAGTGTAGAGGTTAATGCCTTCATGAGAGGATTAATCTAGATTAGAGTTCTAAGTTAATTGGAATTTGAGATCATGTGATGCTTGCTTTATCTTTCTGTATAAGATTCAGTCTTTCTTAGCTCTTAATTGATGCACAAAGAGGCTGTCTGGTCATTTTAGACTTGGAACCTTATGCTTGTTGATTACTTATTCATCTAATGGGAATTAGTCTTGATTTGGTAATTAACAAAGGGATTTTTGTCATGAGAATGAATTTATCTGATTTGGAAGTCTAGACTAAAGAATTGCAAGTGTTGCATTGTTTGCTTAGCATCATGAATTCACATTTAAGCACCCTGATCAATGATCACATCTAGAGGTTTAGCTTATATCTTTATTTGAATTTGAGTCTTTGTTTGCTTATCCTCCTAGGTTGTTCTTAATTACTGCTTGTTCTTACTTGTTTAATTATATGCTTTTAGATAATCTTGGTTACCAAGTCATCTTCTTATTAGACTTGGATTAAGATAGTTCCATATAGTCTTAGTGCCTAGATAATCTCCATTTGGATTGACCCTCAAGTGCTACAACACAAGAGGTTAATTGACTTAGTAGGCTAAAAAATCCTAATATCAATGTTCTATAGGGATTGCTTGTTTTTCTCAACCATATTCTAGATCTCATATCTTCTAAGTCGAACCTAATGCATGAGGTTAGTGTCATGAACTAATCTCTGAACCTAGGATTGATCAGAGCCACGAGAGTAATAAATCAGATTGCTGGAAATAGCATTGGAAGAACATAGTATATGTAGGAGACGAAGGGTACCTATAGAGAAGATGTGAGCAAAAACGAATTCCATTATTAATGGATGATCTTACTCGCGGAAAGAGATGAAAGCTACTTGTCGAGTTTAAGTGATTAGTTGGTTAAGATGACGAGAGTTGGTTAGCCATATAAGTGCATATTCTAGTTCCTTGCAGATCTTAGAAATAGATTAAGATATTCTACCTGAGACTAGTCGGAAGAAACTTAGATATCGATTAGGATAAAAAAGGGAAGTCTGCGTCGCCCCCTATGAGTTTAAAACCCTAGTTTGAATCGAGCATCCCGTAGATTGTCCTTAGCAACTAAACCTTATTTCATTTTTAGTCTTAGTCGAATTAGTTTAGCATTACGTCTAGTTTTATTTTGTCTTTTCTTTTCTCGTAAAAACCAAACCCCCCCCCCCCCCTTGAGTTTATTATTTCGCTTACTTCTCCCATTTTGAAGTTTCTGCAGATTAGACATCCTTCCTGTGGATCAACATCCGAAGTACAATACCGTACGACTGTGCACTTGCAGTATTCTAGGGTTTTATAAATTTAATACTTATTTGGGACCCGCTAACCCTAACCTTCATCAAAGTTTTGTGTAATTAATTTTGTGAAAGTTGCGTTTATAGCATATTTGTAGTATTTTTTTTTTTGGTTTTCTTGTTCTCAAATATATGTTAGTTATTGTTGTTTTATGTTTTTAGCCTTGACACTGGAGATAATTTTGTAACAAACATTACAGGCTAATGGTGTGAAAATTGACCATGTCCCTTGAGCATTCTGTTTTTGGTACCAGACATATATTGCTCTCATTTAACTTAGGATCAAAAATCCCTGAAGCAAAGAACTCTTGAACCATCTTGATTACATGAGATCTGATGGTCGACCAATATTTTTGGTAAAATAGAGTTGTCATACCATCAGAACCCGGAGCTTTCCCCGGATGAATTGAGAATAAAGCCTTTTTATTATCTCAAGAGGGGTGAATTCTTTACACAATCTCTCATTCATCTCAGGGGAGATGCAATTTGGCAGGTTATTGAGAGAGACTTCAGTATATGAAGTCGTCGATGATTGAAACATATTGCAGAAGTAGTCTATTGCAATATCTTTAACTTTTTGCTCATTCTGTGTCCAAATCCTCAAGAGTCATTAAGTCCAATGATGTGATTTCTTGCTCTTCTTTGTTTAGTAGAGGTGTGATAGAATTTTGTATTCATATCTCCATCTTTGTACTAGAGGTTTCGGCTTGCCAAAACATCTCTTCTTCCTCATAAGTTTTAATGAGATTTTTTGGATTAATGAGACCTCCTCCGTAGATAAACTCTCGTCAGGCTGACCTTTATCCAGATAGATTGAAGATCTTATAGATTTTTGAGGAGTTTTGTTCGTCTTCTCTACACCATCTAGATATAGAGGACTGGCAATTACTTATGCGTTCATGGAGAGACATATTTTGTTCCTCATCATTTGACAGCCAACCCTCTCGGATAATATCTTCAAAATCTGGTTTAGAGATCCATTGTTTGTCAAAGCGAAAATTCTTTTTTTATTTTGTTTTTACTTGAGAAATGTATGTGAGGACCGGACAGTGGTCTGACCCCATGAATTTCAGGTATTCGATAGAAGAGTACGAGAATAAATTGAACCAATCCTCATTGCCCATTGCTCGATCTAGTCGGCAACGGATAAGATGTTTTTTCGGGTGTCCCACCCATGACAAACAATTTCCCGAGAAAGGGAGATCGATCATACCACAGTTCTGTTGCATGAGACGAAATTAAGAAAAAAGTTTTCACTACGGATAGGATCTATTTTTCATGGTTTCCATTAATTTCGTTAAAGTCGCCAATCATAATCCACGCATCAAAGCGAGAAATGCTAATACGAGTTAAGCATTCCCATACTAAGTTTCTGTGATTAACGACAAGGTCACCATAAACAAAAGAAAGAGAAATTGTACTGATCATAGCTGATACATCGATGACTATAATTGAAAAAAAAAGAACTTGAACATTAAACTCAGATAATGCAAACAAAGCAAGGCCGCCACTACTGCCGATAGGGTAACTGTAAAAAGAAAATCATAACCAAGAAGATACCGAAAGTCTTGAAGGAAGGCTCGTTCATTCTTGGTCTCCATAAGAAACATAATACCTGGAAAAAACATTTGACGGATTTCTCGCAGGTGGCAAATTGCCAAGTAACTACCTGCTCCTGCAATTGCCAAGTTCATGACCATTACTGTGGCATTGGTCACAACCAGTTTGCCGATGTAAGTGTGTCTTTGTGCCCACGAGTATCACTTTGTTCAAAACAATCTGCGCAAGAGGAGGAAGAAAATATGAAAACTTTAGAATCATCAAAAATCAACAGAGAACAAACCAACACTATTAACGTAGACTAAAATCTAAACACAAATGAGATAAAAACAGCCATTCTCTTCCATTCAAAAAAAAACAGTCATTCTCTTAAGCAGATTAACGGAGTGGAGAGGCAAAGAGAGAGGGGAAGAGATTTTAAAGCCGACGCGACGATTCGAAGACAGTGAAGAAGATGACTCTGCAAAGCTTCCTCAAAACCCTAAAGACAGCCAAACGAACATACCCATTTTCAATCTACAAGCTCCTAATCGATTCTTCCTCCATAAACCAAGCTCTCGATTCACCGAAACAGCCACTCTCCGATCTCAATCTCTCCACCCTCCGCCGCATATTATCCGATCCCGACGTCAAATCCTGGAAATGCGTCTCCCTCTTCCGTTTCGTCCTCGAAAACCCTTCTCTTTTCTCTTTCAAGCCCGATCTCCAAACCCACTTATCTCTCACTCTCCGCGTCTTGTCGGAGAGGAAGTTCTCAGATGCGCAGAAGCTGCTGAAAAAACCCGAGATTCTCAGGTACCCTTTTCGCGATATCGCCTCTAGTGTCGTTGATGAATGTGTGTTCGAGACGAAAGTCGTTGCGAGGTTGTTTAATTCGATGATCATGGTTTATTCAGACAAAGAGAGATTCGATGAAGTTGTCGAGGTTTTTGAGTTTATGAAGAACAATGAGGTTAAGATTGATGAAAAGGCTTTAACTTTGCATCTCCTAAACCTCAAGAAACGTGATCAGATGGAGTTAGCTAGCGATTTCTTTACTCTAATGGTTGATTCGGGGTTAGATGTTGTGTCTGTGTACTCTTTAACGGTCGTTGTTACGGCTCTGTGTTGCAATGGAGAGATCAAGAGAGCAAGAAAGATGGTGGAGGAGACAAAGATTAAGCCTAATATCGTTACGTTTAAGCCGATGATTGATTGTTGTGTCAAGAGATGGGATTTCGAAGAGCTGGATTTGGTTCTTGAGTTAATGGAGAAGGAAAAAGTGACGCTTGATCTCGATACTTACAAGATCTTGATCGATGGTTTCACTAGTTACGGCAAGATTGATGATGCAGAGAGGTTGGTTTCGACTATGCACGATAAGAAGCTTAGAGTGGAGACTTATGTGTATAATCTGATCATGAACGGGTACTCTCGATTGGGACAAGTGGAGAAAGCATTTGAGCTACACGGTAAAATGAGTTCTCGAGGTGTTACTCCGAACAGGGATACGTATTGCGCGTTGATGAGTGGTCTCTGCAAAGCAGGGAAAGTGTGTGAAGCGATGAGATTGTTGGACGAGTTGCGAGTGAATGAGTTTGAGATTGCTGAAGCAATGTATATTACGTTGACTGAAGAGTGCTACAGAGCAGGAATGATAAGTGAAGCTTTAAAAGTGGTGGCTGAGATGATTAGGGAAGGATTCATTCCTGATGGTGCAGTATTAGAAAGATTAGCTGATGCATTGTTTGAAGTAAACCGAGCAGTGGCAGAAATGATGGTTACGTTCGTGGTTAAGAGCGGAATCAAACCAAAATCTTGTTCTGATTTGGTCAGAAATGAAGATGTGGTTCCTAAAGACTGAGATGACATGGTGATGTGCACAAAGTTAGTTCTATGCATTTGAAAGATGCAAATGTATTATATGCCATATTGCCATCTTGAGAAGGTTACTGGTCTGGGATATGGAGGAAACATGAAAAATAGCAGTGCGTATGGATAATTTGAGATGAGGAGAAGTGAGTCTACTTATATATGTTGTCCTAAGAAGATTGCGTATAGAGTGTATTAGAGTTGGAATAGGAAGTAGAGGATGATTTCGTGGCGTCAAACAAAAACAATGCGGAGAAGGAACGATGAGGAAGAATGGAAGATGAATGTGAGTTTTGATAAGATCCATGTTGCTAACGTCTTTTCGTGATAACCGAAGTACCAAGGAACTTAGATTGTGCCAAGAATGTTTTTATAAGGTGTGCACATCAGTTATGCCCTTCAAGGATTATAGCAACACTTTAGTGTCATACGATCCAATAAGTTTGCGAGAAAACTGATAGTAAATCAGAAAGTTTTTGGTTCCTCTTTGATGGCCAGAAAGGAAGGTTACAATGTGTAAAGGCTATCGATGAGGAACATGCAGAACAGCTCTTTTTCCAATTTATGATTATAGCTATGTCGATTTACGCTACATACCAACTGTTATATTTTAGAAATGTTGCACCTATTTGTATGTTTTGATGACCCAAACTTGGCTTTTGGAAAAAATATGGCTCTGGTCAAACGTTTCTTAGTGTTAAGTGTTGAGTAATGTGTAATCAGAGATGGATGCACTTCTCTAGTTGCTCTCTTTTCACACACTTGAATTCAAAAACAAGTCTTATTTTGCAATTTCTCATCTAAAAACAATCAGAACGATCCTTGATCAAAAAGATAATTATTTATTGTTACCGTTAAAACAAAACTACTCATTTCCCCATAGAAAAAAACATTGCAGATAAATGGGGACAAGAAATACAAGCCATATGACATAAAAATGTGTAAACATCATTACACCATGAGACCCTGAGGAGGAGCAGCAGCAGGAGCCTTTGGTTTCGGTTTGTCAACAACAATGGCCTGAGTGGTCAAGACCATTCCTGCGACCGAAGCAGCGTTCTGAAGCGCACATCTCGTCACTTTAGCTGGATCAATCACTCCAGCTTCCAACAGATTCTCGTATGTGTCAGTCATTGCATTGTAACCAAGCTCCCACTCGCTGTACATAATCTTCTCAACAACAACTTCTCCTTCGATTCCTGCGTTCTGGGCTATAAAGTGCAGCTGGTGCAACCAATGCCTGTATTCAAAACATAAACTTTCATAAGTATATAGACACAATCAATCATTTCTAGCCTCTAAAGATTGTAATCTTACCTTCTGTACTATATCAGCTCCCAAACGTTCATCAGCATCCTCAAACTTCTCCTTAATAGCAGGAATAACAGTGGAGAGATGCACCAAAGTAGCACCACCACCTGGAACTATTCCTTCTTCGATAGCAGCGAAAGTCGCGTTCTTTGCATCCTCTATACGAAGCTTACGGTCCTCAAGCTCAGTCTCAGTTGCTGCTCCGACTTTGATGACTGCAACACCTCCAGAGAGTTTAGCGATTCTCTCAGCGAGCTTCTCTGAATCGTACACAGAATCTGTCTCGAAAAGCTCCTTCTTCAGCTGTGAAATACGAGCTTGTAACTCGTCCTTGGAAGCTGCGTCTGCGATAAGTGTAGTCGAATCTTTGCTGATTGTGACTTTTCGTGCAATACCTAGTTGCTCTATGGTTGTGTTCTCGACCAGCAAACCCATGTCAAGGGCTTGGTACTCAGCTCCTGAAGAACAAAACAACATACAAAAGAATAGAAAGTTGAGAACACATCAGAGAGAACACAGAAGATAACAAAACCCAAGCAAATATACCTGTCAAGATTGCGATATCCTGAAGCATAGCCTTTCTTCTTTCTCCGAATCCTGGAGCTTTAACGGCGACTACATTGAGGACACCACGGAGTTTGTTCACAACAAGGGTTGCTAAGGCCTCACCGGTAACATCCTCTGCAATAATCAGCAATGGTGCTCGAAGCTGAGTGGTCTTCTCCAAAATTGGGATGATGTCTTTAATTGCAGTGATCTTCTGATCAGTAATCAACACACGCGCATTCTCAAACTCAACTAGTAGTTTCTCAGGGTTTGTAACAAACTGAGGCGAGATGTAACCTCTATCAATCTGTAATTCAATGTAAAGAAATTAAGTTAGTATCTGTAAATCAAATTAGAGTTGGAGTGTTAATAAAGACAAAAACTCATACCTCCATTCCTTCTTCAACTTCGACGGTAGTCTCAAACGAGGATGAAGATTCAATGGACAAAACACCATCAGGTCCAACTTTGTCAATGGCATCAGCAATCATTGTTCCCACAAGTTCATCATTTCCAGCAGAGATTGTAGCCACGGCTGAATATATTAAGCAACGATTTGTTTAGTAGCTAGCAATCAACATTGCATCACAGGAAGGTCACTGAAGAAAGAAAAACACTAGTACCTTTGATGTCATTACGACCTTTGACAGGTCTAGCTTTCTTCTCAAGCTCTTCGATCAAACCCTGAACAGTCTTATCGATACCCCTCTTGAGTGAAACGGGATTCGCACCAGAAGTGACACTCAATAATCCATGTTTGATAATCTCCCGAGCAAGGATAGACGCAGTGGTTGTCCCATCACCAGCAGAGTCATTAGTCTTACTTGCAACCTTCAACAACAACAACAAATGAACCAAATCAATCAGACAATCACCAGTAACAGAAATAACAACGAAAGCTAAAGCTCTCACACACTAACCTCACGGATAAGCGCTGCACCAGCATTCTCCATAGCATCAGGTAGCTCAATAGCCCTAGCAATGGTGACTCCATCATTCACCACTTTAGGACTTCCGAATTCATCCAGCACAACATTCCTCCCTTAAGAATATTAAACGAGAAACACCAAGATAAGACAAAAGAAAGACAAATTTGAACAAAACACATTGAGATAATGAAGATGTGAAGAGCTACTAATAATACCTCTAGGGCCAAGAGTGAGACCAACAGCATCAGCAAGCTTGTCGATACCAGCTTGAAGAGCAGCTCTTGAGCTCTGGTCGAAAGCGATTTCTTTAACATTTGCTCTAACAGTGAAACGTCTGTTTGCTTTCCTGTAGCTTACTCTTTGACCCTTCTGCTGATTTCCACCACTCAGCTTTCCCTGCACCCACAAGATAAGATCAAACCAGATTCACTTAATATTAATCTCCATCGAATTCTCGAATTTCCCCCAGAGAAAGTAACCCTTTTCACCAAACACAGAAACCACTAAAGCAAAAAACAAGCTGAATTGAGAAAGGAACCATCAAAGCATACAAAGAAGCTGAACTGAGAAAGTAACCATTTTTTCACCAACCCAGAAACCACTAAAGCATAACAACAAGCTGAATTGAGAAAGTAACCATTTTTCACCAAACCCAGAAACCACTAAACCTTAAGCCAAATTTGAGAGAGATACACAGTTGAAATAGAATGAAGTAAATGACGAATCCAAAGGAGAGTATGAAAGAAAGTAATGGAGGAAATGGCTAAATAACAGGCAAAGCACTTCACCTGTCGTGAAGAGCAGAGTACGGAGGCTGAAGATAGAGCGTTTGCAGACGCCATTTTTTTCCACAGACGGGAGCAAACGAGAACGTTCTGGGTTTGTGGATAAGGAAATGGGTTTGTTTTCACTCTAAACGAAAGTGAGGGAGAGGGGGGTTAGGGTTTAGATAAAATGGAGTAGCTGAGAAAGGATCCAGAAGATTCTTTGCATTTCGTAAAGATGAGCCGTTGATTCGGAAAAAGGCTTCAACTACTTCGTTTTTTTTCTTCAAAGGCCTGTTTGTTTCACTGTTTATGGCCCAAAACGCAAGAAACTAGAGAATATTGTATGTGTATTGCCTTTACAATCAACGGTTAAAAGAAGAAATATGACCTTTGTCTTTATAACGTTTTCTTTGTCTTCGGCCCCTACTGGTAAAAACTTTGATTGTAGCCACATTGTAAGGTATGGCTACAGGCTTAAAATTTGACTGTTGTTAGTTGTTACTTTGGTAGTCTATCTATCTCGTTTGATAGCTATCTATCATTTATTGATTTAGTAATATCTTCTAGTATATGTTGGTGCATATCGATAAGGTTATTAAAATTGATTTGATTTTTTATGCCATCATAGTGAATTATCTTTTCATCACTTGCTCAAAAATAATTATAAAGTGAAGCGTGTTAGAACTAAAACAATTTACAGATGTTTGATATATCAAAAAATGATTTCCGATATTGTATGAGTGAGGATAGAATACAAGAAAAAATCATATGGTAATTACAAGTCTTTAAAACTAACATTATTCATAATATTTATAAAGCGTCTATGTAACAACTATCGAGAACTTTGATATAGAAAAATAAAATTATAAGTGGGATATAATTTAACTGAAATGCCACATACAAAAATAAAATTTTAAGTAGAATATATATTTAAATCAAGTGTAGAAGCACATGATATAGATTTATATCTGAGAAATTTAGAGATCGGAATAAAACAATGCAAGTTGAAATTTTGATTTGGTCCAAGTCTAGTATGTCTTTGCAATTGTATATCTATCCGACTATAAAAAAAAGTATCCATGCATGATGCCAAAATTCTTCTAAAACGCTTTTTCAATGTTTTCTAAACGTTTTCCTATAATTTATTATTTTATTTTTTTTGGTAAGATGTTAAGAGTTTTCCTATAATTTTCACCTGAAAATTGCACTATTTTAAGAATTTAAAACAGTCCTGAGAGATAGAGAAACCTTGAATTTTTTGAAATACATGCATTATCACTTTTCGTGAAGAGGAGAGTACGGAGGCTGAAGAGAGAGAGCGTTTCACTGTTTATGGCCCAAAACGCAAAAACAGTCCTTAGAAACTAGAAATTGGTATAACATCCTTGTTGTCAATTTGTCAATCTTTTTCTTTCACCTGAAAATTGCAAAATTTCAAGAGTTCAAAACAGTCCTAATAAATAGAAAAGCATTGAATTCTTGAAATATTAGCATTATTATCACCTCACAAAGAGGAAAGCGAGCATCAGGGTTCAGGGATCGAAATGGCACAAAAAAAGTTTAATGCATGCAAATAGGCTTTAAATGATAAGATTAAACTCTGAAAGTTGTATGGAGGACGAATACCAGAAAAGGGGATCGTCTTCTTCTTATAGCCAGAAAAACATAACAAATACTACCCTTTTATAATCCAAACATTTTATTTTGTTATATTCCTTTATATATCAATTAATAAAGGATACATTTCTATTATTGTTCTGCATTCTATTTAGTACATCATTCTATTTTTCTTGAAACAAAAAAAAAAACTTAGTCCCACTCTTATTAATTACTTTACACAGTCTCCATTCGGAACCACAACTTGCATCAATAAAAGTATAAACTAACATAGATGATTCTGGACTATGCACTAAAGGTTTGAATAAATGTGAGGCGAGTAGGCGACATGACTTAGACTCGATTGAAGAAGCCAAACTACTGCAATAACTGCCGCAAATGACTACTAACTACCATCTTTAATTTTATTGAGTGAGACAATGAATAATCAAAACGTTGAATTGAGATAAATGCTCATCCAATTTGTATGATAAATTTGTAGATTGGTTTTTTATTTGTTTATAATACTATG